GCGTGCAATGCGCAGCTACCTACCCTCCCCCAAATAATCGGTGAACGAAACTGCGGCAGCTACAACCAGTGTACGACAAGTACGCGGTTCTTACAGCTGACAATGATGATGACGATGGTTGAGTTGACAACTGTTGCCTCACTGAACGGGAACCCGGGGCTCAACTTATTAACAATGATGACACCAGCAGACTTGATTCAATCACTAAATCAGTGGCGCACAGGAGCCAATGATATTACCTTAAGTGCATAGTTGCCCAAGTTCCAGAACTAGCTGGTCATGCCATCGTCTTCAATAATTGGCTACTTCTCCCGTGCTCTCCCATTTTCCGACGGCCGAAGCTATAGCGGAAGCATAATCACCATCGACAGCATGACATCAGTGTTCAACACTGATGCTTCACTGCCGTAGAAGCTATAGCAGCCGGAACCAACGTATCCTTGCTACATGGTTTATAGCTGATAAACTGAACAGGTGTTAGTAAAGGTGTTCCGAATGCATCGTCTAGGCTAAAGATCGCTAGCAGTGTTTAGCCCACTCCGAAGACGAAGTGTTTACTTGGAGTGCTACGGACTGTTACGAAGAAACTTACCAGTAATGAATAGTGATATCAAGATCGATACCGTCTTCAAACCAACAGTTATGACGAGACATGACTATAGGTATCGCATGAACGATGCACCATCATGAATTCTTCTGAGTCCAGGGGCGACAACCCAGCAGGACGAACAGGAATGCTACCGTCGATCATCACCAGGTTGCGGTCAGTAGGAGATTTGATAGTATGCTCAAATTGATTTGCGACTTGGAAAGGGGGACAACTTGAAGAGAATACCAGGCATTTTAAACGTTGCTTGAATCGTCCGGACGAAAAGCACCCTAATCGAACCCCGAGGAACCGAGTTTCAGTGAAAACCGCGGTGGAAGAACCGCAGACGAATGAGTTGAAGCTACTCACATTAGAGACCTCTCCAGACACTATGGCTTTAAAAAAACGATTCAGGAGAGCTGTTTAGAAAGAAAAATGAGCAACTGAGGTGTTCAGCGCACCAGAAACGGATTGCCTTGTTTAGGCCAGTGAGTGTTCAGGAAGCTGGTTGGCTGTTTAACTGTTTGATGTCGACGCAACTGAAGAACGCACTGGAAAAACCTACTAATGCCTCAGCACGGTCGGGGAGAGTTCCAAGAATCACCCTGCTCGACACGTTCGTACACTTCGCAAATAACTTCAAGGTTACCAATGCTCGGAAGCCCACTCACTGCCTTCCCGCGCCAGAGTTGTCTACAAACGGAGTGTCTGTCGACCTAAAGGACTAGTTCCCTGTTACGATGGCCAAACCCGGACTCCAGACAGGCGAACGGATGGACAGCCCATGTCCTATCAACTAAGTATGAACCCAGTAACCAGTAAATCGTCAGGTTGACAACTCTCGCCTCCATGGATGAGAACTTGGTACTCAACTCATCAATGGTTAATGACACTAGCTGACACATCCAAACCGCGCAATCAGTGGTACCCGTCTGTCAAAGCTATCACCATCAGTGCGTAGCTGCCCCGTTTCCATTTCTTCAAATAACTGGACCCACGCAGTACGAACTAGTTCCCCATATGATGCCTCCAATGATTGGGTATATATTCGCTCTTGTGTTGTCCGACAACCGGAAGTAAAGTAGTTGGGAGAAACGTACTTCTAAGGGGCTGATGCATGAGAATAGTCCTTATAAGGATTAGCTAAGAGACTAGAACTGGGGCTCCCAGAGTAAAACAAAAACTTACCTTGTAGCCGGAATGTTGTGTAAGGTGTTGCGCCAACTCAGGTTTCAGTAGGCTTTTACCACCCTGAATGGTGGGCTGCAGCTGGGAGGTGGTAAGCACGGTAGAGCCATCTTGCATAACGTACGCCCCAGACTGATCGACTGCAAGCTCGATCAGCTGGCCAGTGTTTGGGTCAATGGCTGACATTGCAGGCCTACGAAGAAATGAAGAAATGCTGAAGCGTAATAGTGGTTTTCTTCGGTTGTGCAATAAATTTAAACGTCGTGCCTCAACATCAACTTACGCATATGCGCCAATTGACATTTCGAATCCAGGAAAAGATTTTCGAATAATTCCGTCCGCCTAACCAAATCCGGCGGCTAATAATCGAACCCACAAAAACGACGCAGGTCATCCAACAGTGAACTGTGCAGCGCTCTAAGAACTAGAGCACGCTGTCTGCTTCAGAGCGAGAGACAACAATCGGTTTCTGGCATAAACTGATGCACAAGATGAGAAAATATAAGAGTAAGATATTGTGAACACACCGGCCGCTTGTTTGAGTACATCATTAGCGAAACCCCAAATAATAATGGCGAAACTGTTCGAATAGTGCATTTAAACAACTTGTAGCCGAAGTTCAAAATGAGGTCGTGAGGTTTTGGAGAAAATAGAGCCCGGAATGCATTGAGATGAATGGCATGGTGCAACCACTGCATTACATCATGTCGTTTGAAAAATGGCTAGCATTTAACAGACAATCATTCATTCAATGTTCTTCAGTCCAACGATCCTTTCAATGGTTTATCGCGGTCCCAAAAAAGCTGGAGGTTGTTGTGCAATTTCAGCATGTGCGCGCATGATTGAGAAGTCTGAGGCTAACAGAACCGGGCTTTTTCAGTCAGCAAATTGTGAGTAAGTCAACGAGGCATATATTTTCTCGAAATTTGTGAAGGCAGTTATGATAGCCTGGGTAGCGTTGAATCAGTGAACTCTCGTGTAAACCTGACCGTACTGATCTGATTGAATGAGGAATGTTGCAGTGACTGAAGCATACAACATTGGCAGAACGTTGGCGAGGAGCTTTGCCTCCGTTCTGGACTTTTCCAGTGCGCCAAATGAGTACAAATCTTGAAACACAAATGTGATTTTGCGTAGAAAGTTTGGGGTGTCGTCTTTACCGAAACAGAGCAAGCGACATAGTATCAGTTGAAATTCAGCTCATCATAGCTGCCCCATCTAAACGTTTTCACCTTTTCTAGTTCCGTGAATGTCAAAGTCATAATGTTCGATTGAACGGACAGGGGCATGGGGTTTGTGTAATGTTGGAAAATGTGTCCTGATCTAAGCGTCTGGAAGTCGGCAGGGCATCCCATAGATAGAATCATTTATTCATCAAACAACCACGTCCGTCATTCAGTAGACTCACATTGGCACATGATGTTGATGGAGTGGTGAATTTCCGACAATAAGAATGCCCCGGTTCGCAGCTATGCAACAGGTGATCGTCTTGTGTGCATGGACATTAAACGGAGCCCTTCCCGTGTATGCAGGTGGAAAACTTTCAGGTGTATCAGGCTGCCGGAAACTCTAAGGCCACCATAAATCTACACGAGCTGCCAGCAATAACATCCATTCTCACCTGTAATGCACTTAAGCGGTATCATGGCGAGATAGGAAGAAACGTTATGTAGGCGGTGGGTTCGTAGAACTACCTCAGAAGAAGTAGCGAGTCTGGAAGAGGGAGGCATAGGTCGTCAGTGTAACATGATTCTGCATACGCTACCTCAGGATAGGGTGGATTACTGATGGTGTCGTAATGATGTCAATGAGTTATATGTTTCCTTGGCACCACCTCGGAGGACGTTTATGGCAGTGGGATTGACGAGGCTATCCGGAGATCGGCCAATGCGGATAAGATAAGGACGTCACACTAAGACGGCTCCGGATGTCAACAAAGGCGTGAGTTAGGGAATTGTTCATCGAGTGTCGCAAAGGTTTCTAGGTGGTTTCCGGCATGACGGTGAATTTTCGAATGTTGGCACCCACAGCAGATGCGGGCCCAAACTTTACCTTTTGGCTGCCTCGAATCATACGAAGCAGCAAGTGATAAGCTCATTCGGAGCACATACAGAGGGTGCGTTGGGTCCCTGCAATGCTTCGAGACTTAAGCAGAGACGAACGACCTGCAATGCAGGACAAATTGCTTCCAGCGACTGTTGTCCATTCGAAGGCTGTTGGAGAAGGACACGGGGCCTTGATAAACTGGTACATCATTGTCCTCCTATCTTCGAGTCAACTTCAGCTAAAATTAAAGGTAGAGTCAATCGGTGCTTAGAGTGCCATTACGGAAACCTGAGAAGGAAAACCACCAAAAATATTTGTATGTTTAGTGCCTTGCGCACATCAATCATGAACTGCGCAACGCATCAATTGGGGGCGATGAAGGCGATTTGTGTGGGGCAAAGTTTAAAGTGAGAATATCAAGAGTTTGTCTCCACCATATCACGGATTCACGGATT